TTACCTATTTTACTTTAATTATATTTGATATTTAATTGTCAATTCTATATATTGTTTTTTAGATATTAGTAAATGGCTTGTTAAACTAATATGGATTGAAAGAGATATATTAATAAATAATACATTAGATAAAATATAATTAATAATAGAAAAGTTTCAAGTATTATAAGATATTTAATTAATTCTAAAAAAAATAAATATTTATAAAGATTTCTTGAACTTTAATATTAATCAATGGCAAATTTTTTTATAATTTATATAATTATTGTTTTATAAAAATATCTTTTGAATATAAATTATCAAATTTTAATAAAATTTGTTAAAATATGTCAAATTCTAATATGTTAAATTATAAGATAAAACTTATTAAATAAAGCTTATAAAAGATTAATTATAATTATTAAATTAATTAAATAAAAATATAAAGTATGAAAAATTATATCAAATCTTTATTTTTTTTGTATTTGCAAAAATATATATATAATTATATTTTTTAATACTTTTTATTTGAAAAAATAAATGGCATATTTAATAGGTTTTTAATATATATTAGTTTTATTACTTACAATATTCATTAATAAAATTTAACATAGGTTTTTTGTTAAATAGTTATTGAAAAATTGAATTGGAATTAATGCAACGATTAATAAATAACACTGAATTTTATATTTGATATTAATCTATTTAGATAAAATAGGATTTGAATTTTTAGATAATGAATCAAATGTTAACTTAATTTTCAAACTGAATCAGTTTTCAATTGATAAATTATATTGATTTTTAAATAATATATATAATATTTATAAGACATTAATAAATCAAAAAAATTTTTAGATAAATTATCATATTCAAAAAATCTGAATTTAATATTACTTGTTGAAATACCGAATCTATTAATTAAATATTATAAGGTTTTATATAAAATAATGAACTTTTAAAAACTATTTACAAATGATATTAATAATTTAATAATTATTTAAAATAGAACAAATCAATATAAAAATGTTAAATAAAAAATAAAATTTTTAATTTTTTTATATTTTTACAAAATATAAAAGATTTATTTATCTTAATTCAATTTATAAATTATAATAGAAATATTAATTTATATTTGAAATAAGTTTAATTTTTTTCATATTCAGTTAATTTTTCAAATAATATAATATATCAAAATTGGTTTTTATTTAATAGTTTAAATTAATTAATTTAACAAATTTGAAATTTTATTTTGGTTTAAAAAATGAAACAAATGTTGAATTATAAAATATTAAATTTTATTTAATTAAATATAAATATATAATTTTTATTTATTATATTTTGTTCAATTTATTTTATTTAGATATAAATTTTTAAATTGATATAATTTTTGTAAATATTTGGTTGTAATTTTTATTAAATCACAAGTATAATATTTCAAAATACTAAAAATTCAATTAAAATTAGATATAATATAATTTGTATTTAATTTGATTTTGTAAAAATATTTCAAATTTTTATTATAATTAATTAAATAATTAATAAGTATTATCAAATTAAATAAAAATAAAATGATTTATTATTTGATATATATTAAATTATTGTTAAGTAATATTATATTAAATAGTTTTATATTCAAATGTTTGATAAGTAGCAATATACTGTATCAAATAATATTATTTTGATTTATATAATTAATATAATAATTGTTTATTATTATTATTTTTTTTATAAATAAATATTATTTTTTTATTTGATTTAATATATATAGTATTATAAAGAAAAAATATCTTTTATATATCAATACAATTAATTAATATAATAATTGTATTACTATTATAAATTAATATTATTTATTAAAAAATATATTAATATTAATTTATTTTAAAAAGTAATTATTTAACCATTTAAAAAAAGATTTTTATATTTTATAAAACAAAAACCATTAAAATAATATTGGTTTAATATATTTTATATAAATAGTTTTTTTTAATTAATAATATTTTTATTAATTAATATATAATATATACTATATATATATATATTTATTATATATATTTTAAATATACAGTATATTTATAATTGTTTAAATAATAATTATATATATGTTAATATTAATATATTTTTTTCATTATTTTAATATGTTATATAAATAAAAAATCATTTAAATTTATTAATTATTATTATTTTTGATTAAATAATGATTTATTTAATATATTTGATATGTATTTAATTACTGGTTAAAAAATCAATATTATTTTTATTATTTAAATATTATATCATTTAACAAAATAAAAAAAATTTAGATTATATTATATATATAAATTATTAAATTATTAAAAAAAAAGAAGGAGGGATTTTATTGTTGAATAATCATTTTGAGATTTTAATAAGACAATTAATTAAAGATAAAAATTTGGAATATATTAAATTACTAAAGAATTAATTATTTAAAATAATAATATATACTGTATATACAGTATATACAGTATATGAATAAATAAAAAATCGCAGTAAGATCAATAATATTTTTTTTTAAAAAATAAAAATAATGGAAAAATAAAAGTCGTACAGTATATCAAATTTTTAAAGTTATACGAAAATAATTTTAAATTATATTTTTATATAAAAATTAATTTGAATAAATCCACTAGCATTTATCTTATGCGTCAAAGATAATTTTAGTAATTTCATGCTTTTTAAGAAACAAATTAAGATTTTAATGTTTAGAAACAAAAAATGGCATAAATATCGCAAACATTGCGCATGATTATATGAACCATTCCGTGCGACCATTTTTCGGCAAATATCAGAAATGGAAAATTCTCCTAAAAGTCCATTTGATCAAGTTTTAACTTATCCACTCGAGGCTATTAGGTATGCAGTAGATAATAGTTGTTGGTTAGGAACAAGGAAGATTGGCATTCCCTATCGGCCATTTATGACGACTTAATATTATACAAAAAAAAAAAAATGGACTTTTGCATGTGAGAAGGAAATAAAGGATTGACGACACTCGCAGATAATCTTAACAAAATGATGATCTTGATCATTATCAATGATCATGGTCTTTAAGGAAATGATGATTGTCTTGTTAACCGTGATTGAATATTGATTTGATGAAAAGAATGGGGTAATTACTAAAAAGTATGTAGTTACTAAAAAGTATGCCAAACCCATCACACGAGCAATATTCACCTTTCTATTCGTAAAGAAAAAATACTGTAATATTGTTAGATTAATGTTAGATTAATGTTAGATTAATACCTTTTATTTTTTCATATCTGATAAACCGACGGAAGATGCTAAAGGGTTAAAATGGAAATGAGTTGCTAAATTAGAAGCAATGGTACATGTCAGCGGAGGTTCTGATGCAGCCAGATGACGCCAATTCCGATCGCAAGGTCGGTATCAAAAAAAGTATCGAAGATCCAAAACCATATGTCACATGATATTTGACTCAAGATTTCGTTCGTTCGTTCTCAGGTGCCTAGCCAAATTCGCCAAACAACAGGTACTCGTGCCTCAAAGAGGTACATTATTAACATATCTTATCCCTTTATGAATACGGTATTTGGGAATCAAAACACGTTTTTTTATGTAATTATAATAATTTGCATTTTTTACGTATGGCATGCAGAGTTTAAACCATCGCCATTGTATTACGAGAATATTTCCTTTTTGTACCAGAATCTGTATCCGAATCAAGTGTCATTTAATGTGAGAATGCTTCAGCCGTTTCGTTATTTAACTATTTAACGATGAATAATGCGAATTTCAAAGAAGGTAATTTCGAAAACAAAAGACCTATATTCTGGATTGTTGCGGAAAATATTTAAGTGAACACGCAAATTATTATATGCTATTTTTCGATTTATGGCTAGGTGATTAGTACTGTATGTGCATATGATCGTGATATATGCAATGTGTCATAATTACATCACAACTCATCGTGACGATATTGATCGAGGGAAAAGCAAAAAAAAAAAGAAAAATTGTAAACAACATTTATCACGAAAAAAAAAAAAAAAATTAAAAAAGCATTCATATTACGTATCAAACATTTAATAATATACAGTATATTTGATTATTAATTGATATCGGATACGACACAATATGTAAGCTGTATTTGTTTTGTGTTCATCCTTTTGTCAGTGATTACTTGATCATTTAGTTATTATTATAAAACCAAATAAACAGCCTTTCTCAATATTTTTTATGTTTGGGTCATTGAAAGAAGCATGCATGCAAAATATGTACTCACGTATACGAATGCGGTATATATGAATAAATGCCAAAATACTGTCCATTGCCTATTTCATGTCGCATTATAAAAACTAATTGCAGGAATCAATTTCCCTTTTGAGGATTGAAACGTATGCAGAAGGGTTCTGGGTACACAAACACAATAATCGCCCAGGAAAGGTAAGACGACCAAGAGTTACTTATCATATTTGAATATGAGACGGCAAGATATTGGGGTGAATACGTAGAAGAAAAAATGATGAAAGAATTATTACAAAGTTTTGGTGAGCATTAAATAATTGTTCCGTTTTTTTGCGTTGATAACAGGCGATAACCCCAAATAGTGATACAGTAATGACGATAATGATGATAATACAGTATCATATAAGTAAAGTAGTTAAAAGTCTATTTGCATTAATAATTTGACGCAGTAAACATCAAACCATGAACATCTTTTCTTTTTAAATCAAAGATTTAGCCATTGTTATCTAGCTTAACACCTGATATTTATTTCCACACAACAGAGGTTACACCACATGCCATCTTGCTAGCCAAAAATGTCAAAATTAGTTCAACTAGTTACCGTCCAGCGTAGATAAATAACGTCAAAATACGAACGATTTCAAAGTGCTTTTTTTTTCTTTTCCCAAAATCAGAAATTAAATTTCTCGACGGTGCAAATGTATAATCTTATTATATGAGCATACAAAAATTTTACTTCACATGCAACCTCTGTCTATAATTGTACATACACTCACCTATATAAATTTCTGTAAAATATGGTATCAAACCTAAGTTTGAACAGGATTAAAAGTGCATTCACGCTACTTAAAAACAACTTGAACAATAGAGAATGGATAAGCGATAGTCCGGAGAGAGAGTGGACAAGTGGTAACCTGGAAGTTGATGAACTCATAAAACATACACAGGGTCCTGAACGCAAGATTCAGCAGCTTGAATGGATCCCCTATAAAGAATTGCGAAAGATCAAGCAAATTGGAGAAGGTGGATTTTCCAAAATCTTTATTTCCCAGTGGGATAGGTTAAGCGAGAAATGTTGTCGTTTCGTGGTCTCCGGCAGTGCCGAAGAGAGAAGGTTGGATGGTGTCGACAAAAGGGTCATCCTGAAACAACTCAAAAATTCTGAAAACATAACATCGGATTTCCTCAAACAGGTGAGAATTCATGCTTCAAAATTTTTTGATTTGATTTGATTTGATTTTTTTTTCTTTCTTTTTTTCATATTTAATTTTTATTCAACTTTTCGCCATTATCTGATTCATAGTTGAAAACTTATTACACGCGTTATTCTAGTGACTATGGTTTCTTCTTACTATTACGTTATTATGGGATCTCCAAAGATCCGTTAACCAATGAATATATAATCGTAATGGAGTATTGTGAACATGGTTCTCTAAATTCCTATCTCACCGAAATAACGGAACATTTCGAAGTCAAATTATACGTCCTTGTCAACATACTCAGAAAGATCAAAGCACTCCATTCGTTTGGAATAGTTCACCGTGACTTGCACTTGGGTAACATTTTGCTCGACTGTGACATGACGCCACATTTGTCGGACATGGGATTATCGGGACCTGCTAATGCCGAAGATTGGAATCGGACCGATGGTTATTATGGAGTCCTACCATACGTGGCTCCGGAGGTTCTACAAGGGAAGCCGTACACAAAAGCCGCCGACATTTACTCATTCGGCGTGATCATGTGGGAATTTCTGACAGGAAAGAGGGCTTTTTCCGATAAGGCGCACGACGTTTGCCTTCAACGGGCAATAATCGACGGATTGAGACCACCAATTAGAGACGGAGCCCCCGAGTGTTATGTGGATTTAATGAAAAGGTGCTGGGATGATAACATGGAAAATCGACCAAGCGCGAGCGAATTGTACAAAACCCTTTCCAAATGGAACAAGATGGAGTCGAGTGTTTATACTCGACAGTTTTTAGATTTCGATGAAAGCGTTAGATCAACGTTCTTGGATCTAATCGAAATCTCTGTTGGACCCACCCATCCGGAGGCCATATACACTAGCAGATTTCTTCCGTATGTTTCATGCCAGGAAAATGGAGAAATTGATTAAAGAGCAGGATGTTGAAGATCATTCCACTTGGATATCATATCGATTCACTCATCACTCGATCAATAACAAATATCTCAAATCTCCATTATAATTTGGGTGCTTGATGCACTCCGAAAAGTATCTCTGGGGATGTTTGGATACATTTGTACACATTGTCAAATATATAAAAAAATGTATTATATTTTTATTTTCTGGTTTGTAATTATAAATATTCACAATATTTACAATTAGCATACACATTCCTATTGAATATTTATGAATTAAACTTTCCTACAAAACCTCGTTTCCAACTGTATGATAAGATAATCAACATATGAACACGCATTTCGTTTCCACTCGTCACCGTATAATGTACTATGATATATGCATTATATACTTCTCCCACCCAAATCATTGGCTTTCCTCTCGTAATGAACTATGTGTTATTTAATTTTTTCTTTTTTCTTCTTTTTTTTCGTCATCACATTACTGTGTGTGTCAATTTCAAAATAAAAAAATTTTTATCTGTAGTCTGAACATCATGTCTATCAACTGTGGCTGATTGGCTGATTCTTTGGTCATTGCCTTTGTGGTCCTACGGATCTGCACAATTCAATTCAATCCATATCGAGTTCTCATGATCAGGGACGAATCGAAATAACTCTTCCCCGCAAAGAAATACCATTCATTAATGAGAATAATGATGAGACTTGTACAATATTGCATGCATAAAGGGTTTACTCGATAATTACCCGATAATAAACGCTATTTCGGCATATCTGAAGCACGCGCGGTACATTATATTGCGAATTCGAATCTACAAACTATCGGGTAAAAAAGGTTCATTCTTTTTTTGCACACAAATATTCATTGATACCGTGCGCAATGCCAGAGTTGCCAGATATGTCCACCAATTTGTGCATAAAGCTACCTACGGAAGTATCCCCGAGAATCAATTAATAATATGTTGACTTATAAAGAAATGACACGCGCGGCATACCATTATTGTCCACTTTTTAGGAAATTCTAGAAAAAAAAAAATTAAAAAATAAAATAAAATCAATTTATATTTGATATACAGTAATAGATACGGTATGCATGAGTAAATATAAAAAAAATAGTAAACATATTGATTATTTAAATTTTTATAAAATAAACTATAGGTCCTTCTCTTTAAATAAATATGTTAAAATAACATTTCTCTTACAGTGTATCTTTTTCTTCAAATTAGCTAAATCTTTTAACATATAATTTAGAATTGAATTGTATTATTATTTTTTTTTTATCAAGTTTTACAAATGTTTTTTAAATTATTTTCTTATTAAAATTTAACAATTATCCAGATGGTTTTTTTAAATTATATTTCATTGATTTTTTTTTCTTTAAAATATCAAGTATATGTTAATGCTATTTTAAATATTTCATTTTTATAACTCAAAATTTTTTAAATATTATGCATTGATCGATTAATAAATTGATTTCAAATCAAATTTTATAATCAAAGTTTTTTATGTAAAAATTTTGTATAAAATTTTTTGGGGTAACCTATTCTTTTTTTGATTATACTGTATTATATGTATGTCTTTTTAATCTTTAAAATTAGAATATATATTTGTTTCAATAATACGTATAAGGTTAATATGGTTCTGACTTTTAAGGTGGTTACAATTATCTTAGCTTCAATATGTATCATGGAAAAATAGTCACAAAAAATAATAAACATATAGAAATGTTTTTCAAAGATACTTTTTTTTTATCTGCTAAATATTTGACGATACTTTTTCTTTTGATTCTGGTCAATTACATAAAAAAATTAAATGGTGAATGAATATATATTTTGAAACAAATAAATAAATATCTAAATAATATCTGTATACAGTAAATACAGCATATGAATTTCAAAATGAGAGACTTTGTTTATACAAATTTTTAAATCAATATTTGATTTGCGATTTATAATGAACAAGCGTGAGTATCAAAAATAAAGTTGTGTATTTTTTAAATAAATATATATATATATATAGTATATAATAGATTTAGGAATTGTTTATGTCAAAGCTTGTCGATTTTATATCGTTTATACTGTATTTGTTTGATCATTTTCTTTTTTAATACACATTGTGAATCCGAATACGTTTATTCGTATATCATATGAAGTTTAGGATTTCGAAAAGATTTTGCCAAGACAATAAGGCAATCCCTAACCGATTAAGATTATCAACATTTCTTATTGTGTTGAATCTATACACGCTAGTGTTCATTTATTATTAAACGTTGCTAATTCCGACAAAAAAATTGTTCATTCGAAGACTGCATTATTAAAAGAGGATAAAATAAAATTGTTTCAATCTTTTCCATATGCGAATGAAATTCTTCGGAAAAGTTCGAATAGTAATTTTATTTGGTACCGGATATTCTCACCATCTGTGCAAGTAAGGATAAAAATTTTGTACACAAGATAACCGGGTGTTGTTGAAGGAAAAGTTTGACACTGTGTGTTCTATGTTTAAAGTAAGATCTGCGCATTGAACGATAAAATCCGAGACTTTGGCTATCGTCCTCGGAGTAGGTAAGACAATAAAGGCAAGGTGTAAAATAAATTCGAAATGCGATTTTCACTCCTATGTTAGGGGTGTTAGCCGATCGCCCGTTAAATCCAGATTTTCTGACGCTCCACGAATAATATCAAGATATATAAATATCCTGCAATAATTATCAAGTTCAAATTTTGAGAAATAAGAAAATGGAAATGTTCGACATTCTATCAGTCTTGCTGGTCCTTCTCATTATCTACATTTCTCATTTCTATTACAAATACTTTACTCGCGAAAATCCTCTTCCCGGTCCTATTCCTCTTCCCTTACTTGGCAATCCCTCTCTAATTTTGGGTGATATATCCGTGTGGCCAACTAAATTTCAAGAGAAATATGGTGACTTTTTTGAAACCTACTTGGGTTCCAGACGACTAATCTGGCTTAGCAGAGAAGATTTGATTCAGAAAGTGATGAGGAGCGAAAACTTTCATAATTTAGCGAGAGCGGATAATGATGGTCTTAAAGAAATTGGTGTGCTAGATTCGGGAACTGTATACAACCAAAATTATCAAGCCTGGGAATATTACCGAAGGTTTTATACAAGAACACTATCTCACAAATCATTTATCAGCCAATCATTGGAATGCGTTCGGAAAAATTTCGAGGTGATGGAAGGTTATTGGGAACAGCTCGGGGAAAAAACTGTCTTGGAGTTTCCGGAATGGTCGAAAAGATATTTCACGGATAACATGTTATCTATAGCTGCCGGTAAATCAGTCAATTCAATAGATGGTTATTACAATAGCGTATCAACCGGTAAAAAGGCGGATATACCTGATGGCATCTTGGGTGAATGTGACGTTTTTATCGATGCTATCGATAAATTTGTTTTTGGCCTTGTATACTTCTTGCTATTCCCAAAGTTTATTCGAGAATTTCCCGGAATTAGAGGGCTCACTCATGAATTGAAAGAGAAAACAAATTGGTTTAGGAGGCTTATTCTTCGTATCATCAAGGAGCGAAGAAAAGAGATTGACGAAACACCGAAAGATCAAGAATTATCCCATGACTTATTAACAAAGTTCCTAACCATTAATACCCCACGTGATGTTACCGAGAAAATCGTGGATGGTTTACCGATGTCTGACGAAGAAATCTGTGGAAATTTGATGGAGGTTATAGGAGGTGGAATCGATACGGTGAATAATTTTTATTCCTGACGAATGACTTTTACGCTCCAATTAATATTTATTTATAATATTTAATTACAAATTAGTCATCGAGTGCTCTCTGCTTTGTGGTTTATTACATATCTAATTATCCAAAAGTTAGAGAACGGCTGATAGACGAGATCAATCGAGTCTTGGGAAAAGATCCTAACCACAAAATTACTTATGAAGAAGTAATGAGCCTTGAATATTGTGATGCCATAATTAAAGAATGTAAATTATTTGTCAATACAGTACACTGTAAATATTGTTCGTGGATTCAGTGCACAAGCATTCTAAGAAAATTTCCTTCATATTAACAATTTAGGTTTTCGAATATTCTCTACGATTCCTATCATGTTTAAAAAAAACACCGATCCTGAAATAATTGGTGGTTTAAGATTTCCCGCAGACACTCAATTCTTTATTAATATACATGGAATTCATAATCACAAATCTACCTGGAAGAATCCGGAAGAGTTTAATCCAGAAAGGTTTATGGATAAGAGCAACCCGGAAAGCAAGAAACCTATTTACTCTTTTAGTTCGGGGAAAAGAATGTGTAGGTCATTTTTTATCAGAGATAATACTATATAAATCATGTTCGGCAAGAAGTTAATGTTCCGTTCATTTACTCTTTTGACAGGCCCTGGAAAAAATTTGGCAATATTGGAGTTAAAAACTTTCCTAGCTTTATTGTACAGAAAATACGACGTCGAGCTAACGGATGTGAACGCACCAATAAAGTATCATATGACTTCAATTAGAAATTGCAGTGAACTAAAAATGCGAATTAAGAAAAAGAAAGATTGGTATAGGCAATAGTTTTACGTGATTTTTGTTATTTAGATTCCTCTATTGTTCATCCCAATATCCAATGAAAAAATGACATCTTGTTTTCTTTTGGGCATCCATTTTAATACTTATTCTTGCAACCTGATATTTAGTTCGAAATATCTATCAAATTTATTCGTACTTAAAACCGTTTAAAGAAACACAAAATTTGATATACAGTACGTATTTAAGAATGTTATCAATAGAAATTTTTCTTTATTTGCTCTTCTTTCGATAGCTATTATACTATCTTATTGAATTTTCAAATAAAATCAAAATAATGTAAATGATTAAAATATAGTATAGATAACGCATTAATGGAATTAACGATGGGTGTCTGGGCGTCACCAATATTACATTTAACCAAGAAAATAAATAGCAGGAATTTTTATTTTCTAATAAACAAAATCATAAAGAAAAATTTTGATTATTTCAATCATTTAAAAATGTCTGGAAAAAAAAATCAACTTACAAATTAGATAATTATAAAATGATAAATATATACAGTATATACATGTATATAATTTTATATAATTATTTTTAAAAATATAATATACAGTACATGTACAATTATCTCAATAAGTAAGACCCAATTTCAAATTGGAATAAAAATTTATTTATTTTTTATATCACTAAAAAAATTTTTTATAGTTAATATTTGATTAATTCTTCTATTGTATACAATACTAATGTTTCAAAATCATGAATTAAAAGGTTTGAATCAATCTATTAGAATTTAGGATTTTAATTACAACTAGTTAATTATATTTAAAACAAACTAATTAATTGAAAATTTTTTATTACCATGCAATACTACCTTAATTTTATAAAACATCAAATATAAATTTTTTTGAATATGATAATTAAAATATCAATTTATTTTCTATTTTTTTATTTAAACCAATTTTTAAATCATTTATTGTTTTTTAAAAAATTCTTATGCTTGTCTTATACAGTATATTATTTTTAATTTTAAAATGTTTTTTGTGATTAGATTAGATAATCTTATTATCAATTAATTAATTTGTTTTCATTTGTTTTAAATTATTCTATAATAATTTATATAAAAATTATTTATATACTATTCTATTAAAATCAAATTATTTTATTATTTTATATATTTATAGTATATCAAAATAATAATACAAAAAGTTTTTAAAAAACTCTTACTTGTTTATCATTAATTTTAAAAAATTTATTTTTATAGTAATTTTTCTTTGAAGAAGTATTTTTCACTCTTTTTTATAAATATTAATTATGTCATTAGCTCAATTATATAAAAACATTAAGATTATTATTATATTGAATTACAGATGCCGTAATATGTTTTCAGAATTTTTTATCTCAAATAAAAAATTTTATTTATATCATTTTTTATTTATTTAATTTTTGTATCACATTTCTATGAATCGCTACTACTATTAAAAATTTTTTCAATAGTCA